CAACCATTCCTGGAGACACCCCTGAAGCAAAGGGAGCTCGTGCCTCTCTTGTTGCCCTCTCTGCTCTAGCTGATGCTGGGCACTAGCAGCCTCCAAATGCCATCAAAGGAATATGGTAATTGAGAGCATGGCCTGATTTGGAGTGCAGGCTGAGACCCTGCATTTGCAGTGCAATTAGACTCATGGAAGCAACAGAGGCAACGCAATGTGCAGTGCTGGGGGTCATCCCCTGCAGGGGCACCACCCTGGGACTGCTGTGCATGGAGCTTGTTCTTCAGGAACCTCAGAAACACAATGAGTGTGTTAAACCTCAGCCAGGGAGTCTTGTTTACTCTACAGCAAGCAGAGTGCAGAGGGCTCTGTGCTTTGTGCACATGTTGGAATTAGAATCATAGAATATCTCAAGTTGAAAGGGACCCACAAGGATCACTGAGACCAAATTGTGCCTCCTAAGCCTTATTCTTGGACTCTCTTTCCATATGCTGGGGATGAAGATGCTTTTACCACAGTAGACAATGGAGAAAGGTCCCAGAAAGGGGTGCACCACATAATGTCAATAGCGAATTGTGGTCTGGATCCATTTTCATGCTTACACAGCAGCATCCAGCCCAGACCAAAGCCTGCAGGATAAAATTGGAGGCATGAGTGACACAGAGCTTGGTGGGACAATTGCGTGTTTGTCCTTGGGATGAAAGAAGGAATTCAGTTTGCGCTGTGGCAAAGCCCAGAAAGCACAGTGGGAAGATTTAATGGAAGTTTAATGGTTGATCTAATGGGATTTGGAGGAGGCCCGATAGGGCACAGGAGGACCACAGCTCCCTGCTTCCATCTTGTTGGGGCAGTAGATGCCCATTGTACAGCTCTCCTCATGCCTCAGTTTTCCCATCAAAGTGTCCTGGTAATTCTTCCCAGGTGCTCGTGGGAAGGGTGAGCCTGGGAGGGGGAGGGAAGCTTGGAACTTCATCATTGAATGCTCCATTTGGACCATGCAAACAGCAGGCTGCTGTCACCTCTTCCTCGAGGAGCTTTCCTCCTGCCCAAGGAACTGCCGGCACTCCATCCCAAGGTGGAAAATGCTTGGCATTGTGTCCAGCCCCTGTTTGAAGTGGGAGAGGAGCAACTTTGAATAAGCTTTTTATGGGCCCCATGGCTCTGCTTGACCATAATGTCAGCTTGTAATTAGCAACAGATACCACTTCTGTCACTCGAGATGTTATCATCAGCCGTCTTGTGTTTCAAAGTGAGGAGAGGCATGTAAATTACAGGCAATTTGGGCTCTGAAATAGGCTTTATGGTTTTTTTCTACAAGGCAAGCAGGAAGCATGGGTGGATTTTGTTAGGGAGGTAGCAACGGGATGGGCAGGAGGGAGCACAGGGCTGCATGGAGCTGCTCAGGGCAGGGCAGCAGAGCAGAGCAGCAGGCAGCACGGGGAGCTCTGCAGAGGCTCATTCATACCCCAAGAGGGGGACGGGAGAGGAGTCCTCAAAGCCAGTGCAGCCCCGCTCCATACTCAGCACATCACAGGAGCTTTGGCTGCCTCTGTCAGATGGCCCCAGTTCAGCTGAGGCAATATTTTCCCCTTATTGATAGAAAACATCGCCTTCAACTGAAATCTAATTTTCAGAGCAAAGGAAAGGCTTGTGTTCCCCCAAACAGATTTGATTTTCTGCAAGGAAGACAAAAGCCCCGAACTCACTTTGTTTCCAGCTTTAACTTCGGTTAAAAAAAAAAAAAAAAGAAAGAAAAGAAAAAGAAGGAGCAAAATTAGAGAGAGTAGAATTTGTTGCGGGGTTAATTTCTGTAGTTCTGCATGGAAAAAGCCTTTTTCTTGCAGCAGACCCCGAGCGTTTCCCACATCCCTTGGCACTGCTCCGCAGCCTCACATATCCTGGTGCCAGCACAGGGATGAGGATTTGATTTCATCTGCAGGAATTGTCGGCTCCTGCCTCGCTTGGCCTCCTGCAGAAGAAGCTGCTCTTTGCTTGGGCTCCCCAGGAAATGAGCTAAAGCAGGGTTTGGCCCCACATTGGCTCGGCAGTGTCAAGTTTTCCCCTTTTATTTGCTGGAGGAATTCAAGCATCACTCCACCGCTCCAATCTTTCTGGCAAATAGCGCAGCCAAAAAGGTTATCTGCCTTCAAACAGAAATAGCTTGTGTTTAGAGAAGAATTAAATTTTGTTCCCTTTAGAGCTGCAACCACATCCTCAGAGCTGTTAACCTGAATGTGAACTTCAGATAATAAAACTCTAACCTCGCCCTCGCCAGTCGGCAGCTACCTTGTGTACTCTCCCACTATCTGCCCCATCGATGGCTCGATAGCACAGCTTGTTTTCTTTTTCAAGGGAAGACAGCTACTAAATCTCCATTCCACTCCCCTTCCCTCTCCTTAGCACTCTGGGGCTTCTCCACAGCTGCAATGCTTTTCCATCGTCCCTGCTCTCAGTTAAATAAACATTATGACACATACTGATTGCTTTAACAAACTTTACTGTTCCACGTCCCCGGCGAAGCACGGTTATCTTTTTACAGGGAACATTCCTTTCCTGTTGCTATGCCTACTTCAGCGCCATCCAGTGCGATAGCCAAGGCTGCTGAGAGGACCCACAATTTCCAACCACTCCATTTTGCTCATCCCGAAATAGCAGCGCAGCGGCGCGGAGCCAGGACTCGGCAGATGGGAACTGTCAGAGCTCTGTGCCTTCAGCCCAGGCGGGGATCCGGCCCTGCTGCCGGAGCAGGAGCAGATGGAGCTGGGATGGACACGTGGAAGGAGGACGGTGGCAGTCGAGGCAGATGAAGGACAAAGGTGCCAGCCCGGCGCAGCGCACGGCTGTCCTCCTCCTCCCTCTGAGGCTGTGCTGGAGTCCTGTCATTTGCAGTTAAATTGCAGAATCCAGAGATATTTCTGGTAAATTGTATTTCATAACCATTCATCACCGCCGTGGACAATTTCTGTCGCGTCACAAGCTGTGTTTCAAGGCTTGCAGGGAGAGGGGAAGCTGTCATTTGGCTTGGCTAGGCCAACAAAGCACTTGGCCAGCAACAGGGAAGCTGGGACTGCTGCCCAAATGGCGCCAGGGCATAATGTCCCCATGTCCCTGCCCTCAGAAGTGAGTGGCATTCAGGTTCCACATTGTTTTTCACTTCTAACACAGCAGAGCCTATCACAGAATCATAGACTAACACAGATTGGAGGGCCTTAAAAACCATCCAGTTTAACCCCCACCAAGTCAGACTGCCCAGTGCCCCCATCCAGCATGGCCGTGGGCACCTCCAGGAATGGAGCACCCACACTTCTCAGGGCAGCCATCATCCACGGCGTTGTGCAGTGCTGTTAATGACTGCAGCGTGATGTAGGGGTTTTAATGACAGACTCCCCTGAGGGTCAGTGATTTCTCAGTTTTCCTCATTTTCATTTCTTTTTGTGAAAACATTTGCTTCTCCCCTCACTATAAGAAAGGCATTGAGGCCCTGGAACATGTCCAGGGATGGGCAACAAAGTTGTGCAGGGTTTGGAGCACAGAACTTACGCGAGGTGACTAAGGGAACTGGGATGGGTCAGTCTGGAGAAGAGGAGGCTCAAAGGAGACCTTATTGCTCTCTATCCCTCCCTGACAAGAGGTTGTGGTGAGGCGGGGATTGGCCTATGCTGCCTGGTAATGGTGATAGGATGAGAGGTGATGGCCTCAAGTTGTGCCAGGTGAGTTTCAGGTTGGATATAAGGAAAAATTCCTTCTCAGAAAGAGTGGTGAGGTGCTGGCCAAGGCTGCCCAGGGAGGTGGTGGAGTCACCATCCCTGGAGGTGTTCAAGAACTGTGAAGATGTGGCACTAAGTGACATGGTCAGTGGGCAATGGGTTGGAATTGGACTTAGGGATCTTAGAGGTCTTTTCCAACCTTTATGATTCTATGATTGTTGAGAGAGTGCAGGTTGGCTCCTCAGACACTTCAGTTATCAAAGGAAAAGCCAAAGCCCTGATTATTTCTGCCCAGTAGAGACCCAGCTGCAATAGCTCTGGGCAACACAGAGATCGATACAGCTGGAGAGGATTTCTGGCAGCATGTCCATTGTAGAAGGCAGCTCTTCTCAATATCAGCCAGAGAATTTTGGGTCCCCAGTTCATTACCATGCATTGCCCTTGCAGCTCTCCATCTGAACGTTCCTGCACTTCATACACTACAACCCCCAACTACTTTCTCCTTATTGTAAGGACTCTGAGCAATACACCGGATCTAATTAAGATTTCTTCTAATCTTTCCCTTTTTCCCCAACAACTGGGCTGGCTGTGTATGGGAGGGAAGGCTGTGAGCAGAGGAAAGGACTCAAGAGGAAGCAGATAAAGGGGAAGCCCTGTTCCTCCTAGCTCATTTCAGGCAGCCAGCATGCTGCCAGGCTGACCCCCCTCACTGGGGGCACTCCCTGCCTTTCCCCATCCCTCCCACTGAGACCACAAAACCCAGTGTTGCATCAGTCTCACCAAACAGGGGTACCCCAAATGGAGGGATCACCATGGGATGAATCCAGAGCTGGGGCTGTGCATGGGGACACGTGGCACCCAACCTGCCCCAGTAGATACGGCAGATGATATTCCCCATAACAAATAACCCAGCAGTGCCAAGGGATGTTGCTGCTGCATGAAAGGACACATCTCCACACACAGCAGCCCAGCCAGGGCAGCACTCAAAGGGAGCAGCGATAGCAGAGAGCTGGACATTTCCAACCCCAGACAGAGAGAGACGGCCGCGTGGATGGAGGAAATGATTCAGGATCTGGAAATTTGAGCAGCACAGGCCGCGTGTGCTGGGGCTTGAATGGGCCTCTCTCAACACGGAGTGGTTGGGGTTTTTTTTACTGGGACACAGGCGGGGATTCTTGGAAGCGTGTCAGGAGTGGGCTGAGTGCGTGCGCCAGACCCACGTGGAGAAACCTCCTGAGCTGGAAGGCCAGCTGATTGCTTTCCCTTTTTGCAGGTTACACAAGCAGAAGGTTAAAAGAGCCACATTCCTTGCCATCATTTGCTTTTATTAAAGGAATAATGCATATCCACGTTACCGGCAAGTCCTACGCATTGCAGATGTACTGTGGATTATAATGGGATTGGACTGGCCTTCCGTGGAAAAAAACTTTCAAAGCCTTTTATGGTCCATCATATATTTTCTGCTGTAATTCCACTGTTGGTTTCCATTGAGCTGCCAACAGGCACACTGCTATTGTGCCCAGCATGGCATGAGGCAGCCCCTACCCAGACCTGCTGGGATCACATCTCAGCTGGGTAACACAAGACCAAATCTAGTAGTGAGGCTCCACATGGAGCTGCAGATGTCTGAGCAATCTCAGCTGCTGCTGCGGGAGTTATGGCAGTCATAGCAGGAAGAAGATCCAGCAAGGTCGGTTCCAGGCATCATCACTTAGTGTATCACTTCATTAAACTGAAATGTGATTGAGTTTCCTCCCAGGCAGTCTTCGAGAAATGCATTCATAGGGCATCTGGAGGGGTCCAACACTCCTGGTTGCACGGCACGAAGTACTCAGGATGGAAATCAGTTCGTCCCAGGACGGTCAGATGACAGCACAGAGTTTGTCCCTGAGCTGGCTGTGAACCTGATGACCAGGAGGGGCCAGATCTGCCCACCCAGGAAATGTATTTCTCCCAGACCAGCTCCAGTCCTGGTCCTGGAAGCAAACACCTCCCTGCCCCTGTGTCCTCTGGCCGAGGACTGGAAGCACCACCTCAATTAATGGGAAGGGAGTCTGCCTTCCTGTTTGTGCAAGAACTGACTTCTCTGATGGTCTGCCAGTGGTGGGGCTGGATTTAAGAAGAATAAAACACTGGTGAGATGAAGGAGAGCATCAGTGAAGGTCAGCGAGCACTTTGGATTAAAATTTCTCCCCAGATTTATGAGAGGTTTGCATTGTTTAGCCTTCTTTCTCTCGCTGGGTGATTTCTTGCATTCCTGTGGCACTAGAAGCCAAATTCATCCCTGCTCTAAATCCATTTATTCTTCTCCTGAAATTAATTTTGCTCTCACATTTCAAAGAGCAAAGATGGCAGAACAGCACTAAGCTCTCTGAGACACAGAAGAGTTGCTCCTGCTGCTACGGCGTAACCACAAACGCGGTTTGTGCACTCTGCGGGAGGACTGCGGATGTTTTACCTTTGGTTTCCAGCAAGCCCAGATTGCTTTGAGCCAGCTTCATAGTTCTCTTCTTTGGGAGAAATGGAAAAAAATACAAACAAAATCAGACCCACGTTTCCATACACACCTATTCCCTACCATATTTTTAGGAAAAGTGCACGGTGAGTCTTTACACATCACTCAGTAATACGTGCAGAACTAGAATGATTTGGTGCTGAGGTGGTGAAAAATTAGCAAACTTTCACCAAGGTTGAGCAATAGATGAGATCTTGTCTCTAAAGGAATGACATTATGAATCTAGCGAGGAGAAGGAACAGACTGTTGGCTTTTCTATCTAGGAAGCAGCAGGCTGCCAGAAGTCTCATATAAATGAAAGTCCTGGAAGAGAGCAGCACGATCTGTCAAAGGGAAGGGCTGGTGCTAACCACCACAGTCAACAATTGCTGACAGATGGACCTTCCTGAGACCACTGGGTCTGGAGAATTTCTGAGGAGTAAAAAACTTCTGTCCATTACGGAGGCTCTTGCAAAACCTCTACAGAATCCCATCTCCAACTCCTGTGTTCCAGAAATAATTGAAAAACATCAGAATACCAAGAAAATATCTGAATAATCTCTCTTGATCTTGGGCCCAGCATCAAACCAGAGGGAGGATGCCAGGAACCCAGATGCACAGAGGGCAGGTGGAAAGCACAGTTGCAGTCCCCTCTGCAACCATTCCATCAATGAATCCCTGTCCAACTCCAGTGCTAATGTGCCCACTGAGCGTCCACTGGACCTACCTCTTTCTAGAGATTCTTATCTCTATAGAGATTCTTACCTCCTGAAGGAGGCACAGAACAAGAGCAAGAGTCTTTGAAACTTGGTATGGATTTTGCTCAGAGTCCATCATGACTACAAGCCCAGTTTTAAAATATATTTTACAGGAAAAGATGGCATTCAGTCACATGGCGTTTGTATAAGCAAACAGTGGCTGCTCAAAAATCAGCTCATGTCCATGCACAAAAGCCTGAAAAATGCTCAGTGTGTTATTCCAGTACCTCACAGCTTCCACTGCCTGACCCAGTAGCAGATTTGGACATGTTTTCCAGCACATAAGGTTTAACTCCGGCCACAGCCCCAAAGCAGCACATTTAATATCCCTTTCAGAACATCATTAGCATTAGCTATTCTTACTTCATATTCATGTTATTCCTGTAAGCGGATCCCCCTCTGGGCCTTGCTCCAGGCTATCCCCTGAGCATTCACTCAAGTGCACACAGAGCACTCCCAACCACCACAAAGGGCTGATCCCCAGTCCCCTGCATGCAATGCTTGCTGACCCTTTACTCCACCAGGGGATCAGTGATCATCCCAATCCCAAGTCACCAGGCAGACCCAAAACCCAACGACACCAGCTTGCTGAGGCTCCTGAGCTGGAGAAGAACCCAATGGGAACCAATGCAGCAGAAAGGAGCTGAGCATCGCTGTGATCACACACACCAACCAAGGCCAAGGGCTCGGCTTGGAGCAGGTGCCCCGTCCCAACATGCAGGGCTGCAGGAAGGCCGTGCCAGCCCTGCTCCACCCCTGCACAGCACTTGGGGGAGAGAAACCTCTGACTGTTTTTTTATCATTATTATTAAGGCAGCTTGCCAGCCTTTCTGTATCATTTTAGAAGTTCAAAACAGCCTAATCTGGATCTCAGGTTCACACCTAGTATTTGAATGGTGTTTTGGGACCAAGCCCAGTTCTTAATTTGGAAGGATGTTACCTGGTAGCTCTGGAGTAAGGATCAATGCCTATACATTATTTCTTTCCACAGGGTTTTCCCACGTGTTTTGCAATAGGAGCAGTCCTGTGCCCTGTATCACTGATTGCAGAAAAGCCTTCTCCCAGGAAGAGCTTCTCACTCAGATTAAGGCATTTCTCCTCATCTGCCGTGAGCATCGGTGCTGCAACACTCCCTTTTAGCTCTGGGCTGTAGCTCTGTATTGGGCCAACAAAAACAAAACGTCCTAAAATGAAAACCTCCAGATGATCTTGGCAGAAACAGCACGTCCATCACAAATGGAAATCACATTTGATATTCCACAATGGCAGGAAACTCACCTGGTTTTATTTAGTCTCTGCACAGCTATGTGCTATTGGCACTCCTCCAGTGCATCTCTTTCGAGAGAAACTCTTTTTTTCTTAATACTATCTGCTAGTGGCTCTCGTTCCTTATCTAAAGCGCTCTGCCTGTTTGGTTTGCACTGAGAACCTTTGCTGAATTTTCTGTTTGTCAGTTGTAAAACTTGTAAGGGAACTCCGCAGCTCCTGCATTTACAGCTCTGTTCCCACAACAAGGTGCTTAAAATAAAGGAATTGGCTCAGGGTAATTGCTTGATATGAGAAAGATTATACAGGCAATGAACATCTGTATCACAGCTACGGTTGATGGCTCTGAGTGCTGTATCATGTGCCAGGAGATGTCTGCCAAAAAAAATACTAAAAAACAAATTTTTTTTCCAACCCAACATATGCTTATATAAGACTTCGCCAGTATGCAAAGAAGCTCATTAAAAAAAAAAAAGAGAGAGAGAGAGAGAGAGAGAGAAAGAAAAGGAAAAAAAAAACCAGGAGTGTTGAAATAACAGGAAATTATGCAACTGATACCTGAACCTGAGCGTTGCAGATCCTATCCGGAAGCTTCAGTCTCTCACAAAGCCCTGGTAAAATAAAACAAGTTATCCTTCTTTTTTGAAACTGAGCTTGTCAGTGCAGAGTCAGACGAAGGCTTTGCACCATCACGGTCACTGCAGGCAGGGCAGCTGCTGCTTTTAGCTGAAGCTGCGTAGATAGAATGGGAATGGAGAGACAAGTCTGGAACAAATCAGCTGCGAGTTTTGGCCAGAAATTTCAGCTGGCCCAGAGAAGACTTGTCTCCAAGAGAAGTGCACGCAATGTGTCCCACCTTGTTATTTCCATGATGGACTGAGAGGTGCATCGCTCCAGCTCTTCTTCTGGAAGCCCTGCAGCTTCCCACACTGGACTTAACCCAGAACTCCCAGAAATTCACCTGGGAAACCGAGGCAAAGGCACAGAGCCCTCAGTGAGGAACAGATGAGGGTTACGTGAGCTGAATCTCACTCTCAGTACGTGATGTGGGAGCGCGGTCAGGGCTTGTCCCAACACAGCACCAGGAGCTCAGCCTCACAGCTTCAGACTTGTCATGGGAGATCCCCATCCCAAAGAGCAAAAAATAAAAAATGAAATAAAAAAATTAAAAGTTCTCAGGCTCAGATAAGCTTATCTGCCCTTCTCTCCTCGTTGAAGTAACAAGCCCTGGCTATCCACCCTTGCAAATGGGTTATTCTGCTCTAAGAATCCAGATGGAAGCAAATGGAAGCCGCAGCAGCAGTGAGAAGGCCCAGAACTGTTCATCTTGTCAATTAGTCACATAACAGGGGAAGGAACAGCAGAGGCAGGACCAGAAGGGATGAGCATAGTGCTCATCCGTGTCCTCTGAAAGATGACATCTGCTTTGGTGGAAGAGTCTTCCAGTAGCACAGTATGGAGACGACTCATGGGTCTGGCCTGCAAAGCCCAGTGGAGATGATGGAACCTTTTGCACTGGATTCAACAAGTTAGAATCTCATCACTTTCCTACTTTAGCCTTAATAAGCAATGTTTGTAGGGTTATTCAGGAACCTGCCCTCACCCCAGATCCTGCACGCTGCCCACCCAACTGCTGGTACACAGCCACAATACATTTTCCTCTTTGCAGCACAGTTCCCTCTCCACCACTCTTACTGTTGGGCACATTCCCAGAGCCTGGAGGGAAACAACCCCCATCCTGGGCTGCAGAGCCTCAAAATTGTCTGAAAATTAAAAAAAATAATGGATTAACCATCGCCACTACTGCCTTCCCAGGCCCAAAGCCATAGAGACAGCCCCTCTGCGGGATCTGGTAATGCCCTCTGGCCCGGTGGGACCTAAGCCCTGGGATCATGAAGGAGTCCTTTGTACCTCTGAAATGCCGTCAGCTTGTGAAACAAAGCTCCAACAGTCCCAGGCTCCTAAATGCCCAAGAAAATGAGTGAGCAGAGAGGCTGGGAGAGTTCCCGAGCACGTCTCAGTGGGCAGAAGCAGGGCTATCTAATCAGATGTGGATGGAGAACAAATAAAAAACAGCTGCTTTTCACCAACTCTTCTCCCAACTGGAAAAAAACGCATACATACACGAGAACAAGGGAAGAGGCACTGATGAGCTGTTATCTGAATTTATTGCCAGCATCTGACCCGCAGTGGGGTCTTTTTTTTCCCCTTCTTCCTTTAATTTACAACCCAGTTTCTCATCATGTCATGACATCACCCAGGGTGATGGATTTCATAAACAGGCACACACATTGCAAGGAAAACAGGATAGCTCTGTAGGTCACGCCGGGCTCTGCACAGCAGCACCCCAGCATAGGTCTCCAGGCACCCTTTCTTCCAAGAACTCATTCGGCACGGACGGGGCCACCCACCTCCTGAGCTTTGCTGGGCTGAGGGCAGCTCGGAGGGGATTTTTGCACCACACCAGCCTACAAGCCGCGTTGCACCCTTGTGTCCTCTTGCCCCACCCTAAGTGCACTTTCCCTTCAAGGAAGCCAGACAGCTCTGCACTCAGAGATGATTTATGCATTTTCTTTTGGCAGTAAGATATATCTCCAATCCTTCAGAGACTGGGTGGAACCACAACTGTCTTCTCCATTCAAGGCCAGGCTGGAGAAGCCCATGGTCATTGTATGCATGACCGATGTGCTCTCCCATCCAGCATCAGCCCGAGGCCAGCAGCACCCACGCGGTGCTCAGGAAGGAGCTGCTGGCTTCCTGTACCTAGTGCAAGCAAAGTGCTGCAGAATGTTCTGATATTTGTTTGCATCAAAAATGTTTTGGATACTGCAGCAGCAGTCTGGGCAGATTACAAGTCGATCCAGAATGAACCATTCAGACTGTACCTCCAACAGTTTCACCCACTGTCGTAGCCTGATTACCTGTAAAAATCAATTAAAATTCACAGGAATGGGAGGCAGTCAGAAAAGTAACTTCCCAGGTGTCTGAACACAGTAATAGAAATACAGAAAACTGGCTTTACTATTTTGGAAAGAGCATTTGACAAATGAAAAAACATACTTTCTGTTTTTACAAAGAAATGCTCAGCACAGATGGTGGAATGAAAGGAACAAGAATGTCAGCCCCCAGATGTATATGGGTCATTAGGAAACCCAAACAAGCAAACCACTATCGCAATTATTCTCAACACTCACATTGCCTTCCTCATCATGAGGCATCATTACACTACCGTACAGGGGAATAAAGAAAGGTTTAAGAGCTGGCCTGCTGTCACAGAAGATGGCAAGGCAGGTAGAGATGACATCCTGGGTCCCCTGGATACTCCTCCTGCTTCTCAGGAACCGCAAGAGAAAAGCTAGGGCACCCTCATTTCAAGATAACATCAGTCTTTGTAGAGGTCAAAAAGTACTTCTACATCATGTTTTAACAGAAACCAAGTGTTCAGTAATGAAAGTAAACATGATTTTAAATCTAAGCCTTTCAAGACCCAAGTCTCATGTCTCTGATAAGACTGATGGTGTTATCTGCTCTGAAAATACAGCACTTTAATTTCATACCTCCTCCGTCATATAAGAGTCCTTAATGAAAACAGCCAGAGAGCTGGCCAAACCACTGGGACTGAGACTATTTTCTGAGAGGTCTTCCTTGGGGCTTTTAGCTTCTACTTTATTGTCTCATGCTTGTGACAGCAGTCATCTTAACAGACACTGTAAATGACTTCATCATTAAAACATACTGCCATGACAACTGGCTCTTTCCCCCTCTGTTAGCACTGGGTGTAAGTTCGAGTTCAACACCTGACCTCTTGGCTCCATGCTGAGATGCTTAGCAAGCCATTGCAGTTAAGGATGCTATGTAATGAACCAAATCATCCTTCCTGCATCACCAGCACTGTCAATGGAGCTGGGCTAAAGGTTATTCTGCTTCAGTGACTCTAGTAGCCTGTTGAAAATGCTCTCAGATGTGATCCTTATATCAATACATGTGATAAAGGTGGAAGAATATTGTGATTGAAGAGTTCTGTCTTCATAGGTCTCAATACAGAAGGTAGAAAATCTGTTCATGGATCTGCATACCAGCTGCTGAATTTCCCACCCAGTAGATGATGTACAACTCACATCCAGACAGAGAATGGATGTAGAAAACAAACTAGGGAAGGAAAGCCTCCACAACTCTTGTTGTGATAGAGCAAGCAGGCCAAGCTTCTTCACCCAGACCTTTTGGGAAACAAGATGACTTTGTGGATATTGCTTGTCCTGGCATTGGTCTCAAGCTCGAGCAGATAACCCCAGAGGAACTCCCAGAAACCCAACCATTGTGTTGTTCCCTTCTCTATGCATCCGACCTATAAGCCCACCTACCCAACCGCTCGGCCCCATTCTCCCAGTAGCCATTGGGCTCCCTGCAGTGACCAGAGCCCAGGAGCTCTCAGATAATCTCCTGATGGAGAGGGAGCAGCCTCCTCCAGTCTGGTTGCTGGTTGGAATAATTCTCCCTGTGACTGATGGCCAAAAAGCTATTATGTACTGAGTGGGAGCGATTTATTCTGTAATGCTTGTGACATTGCTTCAGTGCTTGGCAATTCTGTCTTGTTATCACTGGTGGAGAATTTTACAGGCCACTGACAGACCTTCAAACACAGCCATTGCTGTGTGGAAAATCCAATTTGCTTTGGAAATCTCCTGACACAAGGCCTTGTCTTCATGGTCCCTTGGCAAACCATTTTCAGCACATGCACTGGTTCACGACCCTATGATTTAACAGACATCATGAAATTTTAGCAGCAGAATCCATCACTTTGAAAGAACCCCTAACAAGTTTGTGACCTAAAAGTGAGACCTAATATATTGGCATCTCCACACAAAGGGCTCCTTTACTCTTAAAGTTTGGCTTATCTCCACGCCACTGCCAGGTCAAGTTCAGTAGTAGGGTCCCAGAGTCAATGCACCATTGAGTTGTTCCAGGAAAAGCAAATAACATCAATGCAAAAATGTAAATGTGCATTTCTCTGCAGCATCCCCTGCTGCCAAACAGATAACAAGTTTATGTAGGCACAGAAAAAAGTCCCTATTTGAATAACTGTTTGCTTACAAATTAACCCACAGAACTGTGCCACATGCTGCAAAACAATCTTACATTGCATAGGATTAAACGGTAGGATGGTATAATAAAAGCCATGTTGAGTCACTGAATTCCTTGCATTCTTTGACTTCCCATTCTGTCTCAAATGTCAGATATCTCACTGGGGTAACACAAGCAGTAGCGAGGGCTGAGGGTTTGCGTGGGTTTTAATTGTAAAAGCAACATTCTCACAGAGAACGACAAGGTTCACAACCCTGCTCCACAACTTGGACAGGCTGGGGAACTTCAAAAGCTTATTATGTCCTCACTGACCAGTTTGGGAATAGGGCTCCATAGGTCTGGCTGCAGGTCTGAGAACTCTGCAGGACTCATAACCCCAGGAGCCAAGCGGTGCTTCTGCAGTTTACTGCCTTTGCATTATGCATGAGTGGATCTGGGCATGCCAGCCAACACAGGGCTTCTGTGCCTGGGCTGCAAACCACCAACTCATTGCACCAGCCTCACAGCTACTCTCCATTCGTGCTGTCCAATGACAAGGCAGAGTGAGCCTTCACCATTCAGAGGTTATACAGTGACATCTGGGCTTTTAGGTCTTGTGGATTCTTGTCTTTCATACTCTGGTGCTGGAATCCAGACACTTCACCATTGAAACACCATGGTTATGCGAAGCTGCTTCGCCTCTACATCAGAGGGCTTGATCTGGTTCACTTCACACTTCCAGATAGCATTGCTTGAGGCCTAAAAAACCTGTCACACTATGTACATGCAGCCACAGGCAAGCACTGGTTCTTTGTGAGCATGTGAACAGACATTTATGTGCATGCCTGGATTAAGAGGGAAACTACTTAGAGGCAGCAGAGAAGCTGAATTTTC